ACATTATATCAATTCGATTTTAATTTTCTAGATAGTTCAATTTAAATGAAATTAAATAATTATATAACAATTTATATAGACTGGTACATATATAATTTGAATTATATTAAATTTGATTTGAATCTGATTTAAATCTGATTTGAATCCAATAATTTTGTAAATTTAAAATTCGATTTGATTCGAATCCGATTAGATTAAAAATTTTGAAATTTGATCCGATCTGATTCATATTCGATTCATAGATCAATTGGATTCAGATCAAAATTGTGAACACTAATACAAACTATAATATAATACATAATATGTCATTTATATTATTATAATTTAATTAATCACTTTCATGATTTTCTGGGAAATTTTGCCTACCTCAGTTTGATCCTGAATTTTTGGTAGCACAAATCCTCACCAAAGGTGATTGACTGACATGAAACACGTCAGTTTTTGGAATGTAAACAAGCTCCTATTGGTTACACTTATGTGTCTCGATACATTATTGGTGATATAGGAAAGAAAGTTTTAGAAAAAGTGTTCCCTCCAATTGTATATGTTCAACCTCCAGAAAACAATTATGATACTGAAAGGTGAGTGATGACTATGAAAAGAAGATTTAACTTTCATCTCTTATTAAGTTCCTCAGGTGATAAAAAGACTTTCTTGGACAAAAGCTGAGGTCTTCAAGCTTCTATTCCAGTCAGACAAAGTTCTTGGAAAGATTTTTTTATTCCGGTCAGGCAAACTCTTCTGTAATATGATGCTGGCCTCACTAGTGATAAGCGAATTCGTATATCAGAAAAAGGATAAGTTCCTCAAATATTCTTTTTGAAGTCACTTTCAGGAATGGCTAAGTTCCTCAAACGTTACAAAGCTTAGAGAATATCCCAATCAGGCAAACCTCTTTCGAGAGGAAACTGTGAAATGGAGCAAAAACCTTTTGAAGGGTTTTGATTTGCATTCTCCCTTCCCTTTCTCCCAGTGTCAACTTTAGCAATTCATCATTTTTCGAAATAATCTACAGTAACAAACTATTGACAATGACCCTGATAGACTTAGAGATACTATTGCCAAGCTACTAGGAGAGTGAAATATTGTTCCCTAAATCTAACTTAGAGTACCTAGTTTAGACTTAATTTTGTTTAGTTCAAACTAGTTTAGTGAACTTCTCATATTTTTTAAGTAGTGTAATCCTTTAACTAATAATGTATAACGACAAGTTAGTCGCTTTGTGAAAGTTTGTAAAATATTTAGGTATTTTTCAATATCTTAATAAAGACACGCCATTGCGACATGATTGCGGGTTAAAAAAAAAAAAAAAAAAAAAAAGATATCTCAATAAAGATAGCATGATTAGGGATTAAAAATATACAATATATTATTTGTGTTTATGATCTGCCAATCAAAATTTCTGTCATACCAAAAATCCTGTGATCATCTTTCTCTCTTTCTCCGCAATCTCCGTCTCTTTTAGAAAAAAAAATGGAAAAGGAATCCACTTCGAGATCAGATCAGAAGCAATCTCGGCCATTGACCACAGATGAGGTATATAATGGACCGAAGATTTCCCAGAATGTAGTAATTACCTGACTTTTTAATTCAATCATAAAAGATTTTGCTAGAACCTTACAACTATCTGGTGTCGTATCCTGGAAAAGAGATTAGGACAAAATTAATCGATGCCTTCGATCACTGGCTCCAAGTTCCCAAGGATAAGTTAGCTATAATCACTACCATGGTAGAGATGTTACACACCGCCAGTCTTCTGTAAGGAATACCTTTTTTTTATGAACACGAATTTTTTTATATCACTACTCAAATTCGGACAATAATAGGATTGACGATGTAGAGGACGGCTCAACGTTGCGCCGTGGAGTTCCAGGTCATCTTCTCTACAAATCTTCTTTGCTTTTCATGACGATCGCGGATTCTTATACAGGATAATTTCTTTATTTGGCCAATATAGTTGCGCATTCCATATATGGCGTGCCTTCCACTATTAATTGTGCAAATTACGTTTATTTTCTTGCATTGGACGAACTTCGAAAGTTGGAAGATTCGAATATGTTTTCGATCTATACAGGTTAGACCAAATGCGATGTCACGTGACCCATTGGCACTAATATATTTGTATGTTTTAGAGGAGTTATTAAACCTTCATCGTGGTCAGGGATTGGAAATTCACTGGAGGGATACATTGACGTGTCCCACGGAATCAGAATTTATCGGAATGGTTTCAAATAGTAAGATCGATTCACAATTAATTTGAGTGATGTTAATCTTGGCGAAATTCATCATTCGTTAATTAGAAACCGGAGGTTTACTACGTTTGGGCGTGAAGCTCATGCAAGAAGCCAGTAAGTCAGAAGTGTAGGTTTGTTCTTTCAGGTCGCAAATAGTGTTACAACCTTTACACATGTATACCTGTGATTCATTGATTACTCGTTTTCATGATGCAGGGATTACGTGCAACTTGTAAATCTTATTGGTATTCATTTTCAAATACGAGATGATTACATGAATTTACAATCAGAAAAGGTTTGACTTATACTCATTACATTAGTCTTGATTTTTAAGGCCTTAACCCATACTGGCTGTGGTTTACCTCATTGGCGAGTTGTGGCTTACTTTGTATTTATTTCAGTATACGAACAACAAAGGTTTCTGTGATGATATAACCGAAGGAAAGTTTTCTTTCCCGATAATACATTCCATCAACGCGGACCTCAGTGATCGACGATTAATCAGTATCCTCATTATTATTTTTTTTTTTTTCTCGATAAATTTAAAACATGAATCGAGAATATTCTTAACACTTTTCTTTGCTAGATATTTTGAAACAGCATACGACCTCTATCGATCTAAAGCAATTCGCGGTAAAAATCATGCAAGAAACAGGATCTTTTGAGTATACACGACATTATTTGGCAAAAGTTGAACAAGACGCACATGCTGAGATCGAAAGATTAGGAGGAAATCCAAAACTAGAGCAAATAATGGATCTCTTGAGTGTCAAATAATGATGTCATTAAATATTAAATCGGGAAAATGTCTTTATTGAAATAAAACTGTTACTTATTTCAAGTCGGATGGGAGGGTTTTTTTTTAAAAAAAAAAGAGAAATAAATTAAATTAACAAGTGAAAACGGCGTTATTTTCATTATTTTTGATTCTAATGAAACTAATTGGTGCCAAAATAATTAGAGAATATTCATTTCATATCTTGATTGAAAAAAGAAATGAAGATAGTTGATTTATGGCTTCTTACCAGATTAAAGAGTCCTAGAGATTATCGTTCGTATATAATCCATAGTTCAAATATCAACGTGAGACATGCGCCCGCAGTGACTATTGGCGTTATTTGAAGATTCCATTTTAAGAATTGCCAATATCCGACCGGCGATCCCATGTCATGTAAAATTTTATCCCACCTATAATGAAAATAAGCTTGTCCATTTTTTCTCTATTTCATTGTAGTTCGCGACAAAATAACACTCACATCAATCCTGCCAATGCCCCGACAATCGTAAAACAAGCACCCACGTTGCTTCCAATAACCAACGCGAAAAGACAACCTGTCATCACCGATGGTGTCACGTGTGGTGCCTGTGAAAAGTTCGGGTGTTGTAGAATTCGCGCAAACAACACCGTCATTGGAAGATTATTCAACAGGTTGCAGAGAACGATAGAGGCAAATGCCGTGACAAATACGGCAGGTATGAAGGATGGTGTGAGGGTAGAAAAGAAGTCTGCGAACAATGAAATCCAACCTAACGAAGAGAGAACTGAAAAAATTTTGTTTATTATTTAATATCAGGATATCTTTTTTGGTCAGATTAACTCGAGTACCTTCAACGAGAATAAACATTCCAAATGAAAATGGAAGAAGACTTCGCGGCATTCTCATGAACACCGAATATATTGTTGGGAGGGTGTGTTTGAACGAGAGACAGAATTTTGATTCGGGTACATTTATCGGATCGATATCATCCAGGATTTCCAGTTCTAAGGTTTCTGCTTTGCTAAATCCTGAATATTTATCGTCCCCGGTTATTATGACTGCTCTTTTCCGATGAATTTAGGAACTATGCAAGAAATTACCTATATCTTTCATATCAATTTATAAAAGAATTTTGTTTTAGAGCCACTTTGTTTCACCTTTTCACAAGTTCACCTCGCCCTCTTTACCTTCTACATTTTCCACGACCGTGTCCTCTCTACCCTTGACATTTTCTACAACCTCGTCTTCTCTATCTTTGATATCTATTGCAACCGTGTTCTCTTTACCTTCATTATCTTTC